CGACGAATTCGGACAACATCCGCGTGCATTCGCGCGAAAGCCCGTCTTCTCTCGCCTCGATCCCTTCCCCTGAAGCGCACTTCAGACGAGCTTTTATCATAACGCACTGGCTGCGGTCTCAGTTGCGACTATCACCGGGCGGATGCAACGGAAGTTTGATAACGAACAGTGCAGAGAGTTACAGCATGTGTCGAGATTAAGACGCTTAACGTAACTGCGACGCGATCCGATCGGAACGGCCGTCGAATATAAAGCGAGAAAAGACCTATGAATATTCTGCACGAATGCTTTCCTCGAGAAATAAATAGCGACCATTTCAAGTAATTCCCGGATTTTCTCATCGCGCAATCCACTTCAACTGGACGAATATTATAACGAGACTGCGACTCGCGATGATGAGGTATTAGGAACGAAGTTACACGTCCGAGTTCACGATTTTTCAGAGCGAAAATTTTGTAGCAAAAATCGCAACAGAATTTCTGTAATCTCAGACTGTACAGAAATTGCGATCTAAGTTACTGTATATATTTCTCCTTTTCTAACATTTTTTTACTACAAATTTTACTAACATTTTTTTTACTACTTTACAAATTACTTGAATGTTTTGATAGACCGTTAAATTTATCTCAATTCTCTAATAACTCATACTACAGTGCCAGTATAAGTTAGCTTTACAAAAAAATTGCAGAAACAGATGTAGTTTTAGCGTAATTTTCACCGCAATATTTTCTCTGTGCAAATCCACAGCGGTACAAACGCGGCGACGCCAACTGAACCGATTCCTCGACTAAAACGGATGCTAAATAGAACACACAACGGTCGCTATATTCCTGATTCGTGCTTACGGCCGGATCGAAATGAACGGTGCACCATCGAATTACAGCCTCTCTCTGGCCGGCGCGGAGTCGTGCGTGCGAAATCAAAAATCACAACGATGACGCGATCGATCGATTATTCCGCCGCGAACCGATACTCGAACGAGCGCCCGGCGCGCACCAACCCGGGGAATGTTATTTCCCCGGAGCGATACAAAATACACGACCCCGAGAGAAAGAGAGAGAGAGAGAGAGCGAGAGAGAGAGAGAGAAAGAGAGAGAGAGAGCGAGTGAGGGACTACCTGGACGCCGAACTCTAGAATTAGAGGCTGAACCATTAAAGTCCCGAGGGATAATTGACCGGTCGAAAGGAGAGCCGGGACTTACCGAGAAAAATGTCGGTGTCGGCCGGGTCTCTCTCTCTTTCCTTCGATGTGCCTTCAAGTAATTACATATGGAAGGAGTATCCGGTATCGAGCTCTGAGAAAGAAGAGAAAGAGAGAGAAAGAGGAAGGAGAAGAGGCCGGGTCTGAAAAACGTCGACGAATTTTCATGCGAGCCATATGGCTCTTTTTCTGCCCATCCTCGTTCGTAAGAAAACGCAACTGACGAGGCGACCTAAAGCAGAAGTTTCCAGACCCAGTCCTCTATATACTCTCTATCCGGGTTTCCTTTAATCTCTTTTCATAATTCGGCTATAATCCTATTTTTAGCGAAGTTTTCAACGGTCTGTTAAAATACCTCTTAAAATTTCGAAATCTAACTTTTCATTCGTCCCTTTTTTGTTCCGCCTCGACAGGATTATCTTTTCTCAGAATTTCCTCGTGCGGCTCTCTTTGAACATTTCATTTTTGTCGGGTTCTCTCGGTGTATCTCTGGGACCTTATTCTCGACGTGTGTTTTCTAACGCGCCAAGCACACCCTTTTCGTCCCAAGTTCCGTGTTTCTTGTAAGAGTGTCCCACATAAAAAAACTACTTCGGCTTGAGAATCAGAAAAGCGTATTCTTGATGCGTTCAAACGCCAAATACACCCTGCTAAAACATCTTCGCGCTCGTACAAGAGAAACGAAATTTGGAATAAAAAGTGTGCACTTAACGCTCGAAAATGCATAAAAAATACCGAATATATAAGATAATTTAGCGTGAAAATAAAGCCGATCGTGTGTGTGATTCGAGAAGCAACTGTTTGGCGACGCGACAGGTAAATATATCGTTTCTTTCTTTTCTAAGCCGTGCGATGCTTGAGATTTAAAATCGAGCGATCCAAGCGATAATAGAATTGTCGGTGTTTTGATGATATGGATATTGTGTGTGTGTCTATATGTATACGTATGTATACACACAAAAATCGTATCTGCTGTTTCGGGTAGCAGACGATAAGAAAAGATAAGTATATTTCTATATTTATTCGAAACGACCGATTTCTTTCGGTCAAAGACACCGATTTCGTCGTTCGACATACAGGAAAACATCGCTTATGATGTCGAGGCGACGCGTCTCGCAAAAACAAACATCGAGAGGCGTTTTGCGTCTCGTATAACGACGAGCTATCTCGACGCGCCGTCGTATCTCTCATCGAACGTCGAATCGAATTTTGACACTTTCGATGGACAAATTGTCCACCGTGCTGTCGGTTATTTGGTGTTAAAGCGCCTTCGTGAGAAACTCGCTCTCTGCTGATCGCTCCGCTTTAAAGTGCCGCGTCTACGTCTTTCGTTGCGCGAGATATTTGCACAATCCTTGTTTCCCGATCAAAGCTACCGACTACTCGCCGACAATAATCCAGTATGTCGAAATCGAAATGTGGTTTAACATTTCGTCCTCGCGCATGAATAACAGAGTCGGCGCGTAATGTCGAGATACTGTCGAGAATCGATCGCGAGACGATGACAGAGAGATTATCTAGAAGATAAAAACTCGGTAATGTCGCGTACTAATAACACACGTTCACTGAAATTTCGATTCTGCATGGGGAGAATATATCATAGTTTCTTTTATATAAATTTATTCCGATTTTACTGTGTTCTTAGTAGTTATAGGAACAGGCCGTGTATCAATTAAAGTCTATCTTGCTAAAGAACATAGCGAATTTTGCTAGAAACGCAGCAAGTAACATTTCAGTTCTTGAAAAATAGCGCCTGTGAAACGAAAAGACAGTGAATTACTGTAGAATGTCGACCTACTCCTCGGCTACAAAATCCTGTGTTTTTATAACAGTTGTACTATAAAAATGTCACTATAAAATTCTCTCCCCGTGTCGTGCGCGAATAGAATAAATAATCGTTCTTTCACGAGAGACAAAGCACGCTTCAGAGAAGAGACTTATATTTCCTGGTTCGAAACAAATTTCTCAGTTGCAAAAATGTGTATCCCGGCATAAAAGTAAACATGTTATCAGTGGCCACGCCACTTTTTATTCGCTGGATATTTCTCTGTCAGAGTAGGATCTCTCCGTTCGTGTTGGAATGCGCGGCCGAATGAGCCGATGGTAAAGGGGGATATTTTTTTACGAAAAGAAGATAAGAATCGTATCGTTCTGAGCGGATAATCGCGCGTGTGTTTCGGCAAAACGTCTCGTATAGAGCCGTCTCTCCCGAGCGCATTACCTATGCGGCCGTCCATCATAAATTCTAGACAAGTCCCGTCGATGAATGCGAAAAGAATGCTAAATAGCCGGCGCAGCGATAAATCTCGCGAACGCACTTCGAGATTTATACACTTCGCGTACGCACGCGAGCGGAAATGCATTTTACGATCCTCTTTAAATACTTGTCTCTCTCTCCCTCTCTCTCTCTTTCAACACGTCGATAGTTAATACTTCGTCAACACTTCCGCGCGATCAGCATTGTAAATCCGAACATGATACCGGGACGAAGCGATTTTGACGTCGAGAAAGGAGGAAGATCGCTGATATCATTATATCTGTTTCATCGTTCGGCGTTCTCACGCAAAAAAGGCAATTGCGTCAATTGTCGCGCGTTTAATGACAAATGTCACTCGGAGCAGTTCGACTTAGGTCAGAGGTGTTGGAGCACAGAGTGATAGATCGAGCAATATCGTGTAGCACCGCATGTGCGACGTCGCGTTTTGCACCTTAACTATTTTTTTTCGAGAATTTGAGATTAGCGTCCGAGCGCGAGCTGAACACGGGTTTCCGAGTGAGACACACGAGTGTCTTCAGCACGAGACCTCCCGCTCGGCAGACTCCCGGTTGGCGGACCGATCGGAAAAAGCGTGCATCACCAACGACGACGACGACGACGACGACGACGACGACGACGACGACGACGACCTCACGAACGTGCGTCGCAAGTCGTGCGACGATCGTCTTCGCCGGTCGTCGTCACGCGAATCAGGAAAATTAAGTTGCGAAAATTACCTGAGTTGCATCGGAGTACGGAGTCGCCGAATTTTTATCCACAAGTAACGATCCGAACGTAGGAAGCCCCGAGGTCGAGGGACTGTCCTGTTGTTGCGGCACCATTTTCGTAAGTTGGTGAGAGAAACTCCGCGTGCACTACACTTTCAATTTAACAGTCAACGACTCGCATCACAATTCAGCGCGCTGCGTGGTCAATTGTACGAGAGAGCACGCGCAGCAGAATCCTTCACCCTCTCGAACACACGACGTCGCGGCTGATCACTCTCTGCTTGGCGAATGTCCCGGCGACGTTCCTCTTCTCACTGACCGGCGAAGGCGATTGCCGCGTGACTTGCGACGCACGTTCGTGAGAGAGCGGGCCTTCGCTCCCTTCCTCCCTCGGGACGAAAAAACAAGCCGTCCTTTCGTTCTTCAACGGCAACGTCGCGCTCGCTCTCTCTCTCTTTTCCTCTACCTGAGCAACGAAGATCGGCCGAAAAAACGTTGCGCGCGCGCCACAGTGTTTTCGGTGCAACGACGAAAAAAGCGACTCTCTCGTGAACGCGACTCGACTGAGGATCACGAACCACGCGAGAACTCCGGCGCGTCGTAGTCCGACCGATCAATCGGACGACTGAGCGGAAACGTTCTAGGGGCACCTTGTTGCGCGCGGTGGGCCTTTATCTGAGCGAAGAACAGCGAGAGACCGCCGCCACGAGGACGCGCGAATTCTGCACTCCCATGTGCTCGCAGAGCCAAGTGCGCGCGACCACGATCTCGCCTCCGTCAAGTCTCTCAATGTAAGACTCTCTCTCTCTCTCTGTCTCTTCTTCCGTTCGTTCTCGATGCCGGATATCGACGACGTGCACGCGCGTATAGCAGACTGGCGTTTAAGATCCTCTCTCTCTTTCTCTCACTCGGTCGCTCGTCGATCACGATGGTGGCATTATCGCCCCGTCGCACCGTCCGTTAACACAACGATATACGCTCGGCGAGCGCTCATATGCTACTGACTGCGTGCGTCGCCAGTTCGCTCTATACTACGCTCAGCTGTAGAGCGTATCCCCGCTCCGGCGCAACGCCGGCTCCGCCAATCAGCGTCGAGCGCTCGTCGCTTCCCCCGTCGGCCGCGGCTGCCGATCGTCGTAGCGCTCATTCCGCCGCGCAGCTCTGCGTCGTGCGTACGTATCGCTCTACGTCGCAGCCAGCGTGTCTTGCCTCCGCGTAACCTCAAGCTCGCACTAACATTAGGTCGATCGGTTAATTTTAGAGTATTGGGTTAACGTTAGATGGCGTTAGTTAAGAATTATCATGAATTTCTTTAATGACACAGTTGCTGTGTTTGTCAGAATTCTAGCATTTCTGGAACTTGACAGCGGGCAAGTTGTTATAAAAGTGTTCATTGGTTAGAACGTGTAAAAATTAACCGCAGTAAACAGCATTTTCGACACATATTGCTTTTCTCTTTGATCAAAAGAAAACGAACGCTGAAGCTGACCGATGCATCACTAAAACATATGACGATTGTTATCTGTCAATTAAAACGTTCGAATACTGGTTTAGGCGATTTCACTTAAAAAAAATAAAAAAATTCATCGATGAATTAATTACTTCTAAAGATAAGTCTTTTTTTCTATCGTGGAATCCACTTATTGCTAAAAAGATGGGAAAAAGTTGTAGTAAGCGGTCGGAAATGTATTGATTGAAATACAATGTGTTTCTTTCTTCTTTTAATAAATGCGTTTTGTATCAACAAAACCCATAAAATTAATCGAAACGAATGTCGGAATTATGTATGACCCATCTTGTTATTTATGTTTCATAATTTTACCTTGTTGTTTAAGGGTTAGTTTCGAACGAATCGTTTCTTCGGAAGGTGCATCTCACGAGAATGTATCGCTTGTTCCAAGAGGCTGAGCAGGGAGACAAACTTTTCTTTCTCGAGAAGATGCTCGTAAGTGCGGGGTGAAACGGGTATCTTTATATCTTGTCGCGCGATTAGTTTGATCCCGCGCGTGATCCTGCATGCGACCCAAGTCGCACTATGGTATACCGGTTTGGGTACCCCGACGTCGCGCCCGCGGGGGCGTAAAAACATGCGAAATTAAGAGATTACGATCGGCGCGGCGCGCACTTTCTCATACGACGTGGTCTCGAACGCGTCCTTACGCATGCCGAGTAATATATCTCGGGGAGGCGTCGCGCGAGAGGAGAAATTTGAATTGTAAACCCGTTAATTTAACCTTTACAGCCTGAGATACGCGCGCGTGCGACCGCCGAATAACACGTCAGTCGAGGCGCGTTTTTCGAGAATCAATTTTTTCCCGATTTCCGGCCGCTTATCGAGCCGTGGGAATCGCAAGGAACATATCGATAAATGCACGAGCTGTATGATCCTAGGCGAGACCACTCCGCGGAATATAGTCGAGATTTATGCACGCTTATGATTCCCTAGATCACAGAGATAGGCTAACAACAAGCGCGCACTCGCAGCTCGCGCGAACGAATCGGCAATTTATTCCGAACAGCACAGATCGTCACGTTGCTCTTTCTCTCTTTCTCTCTCTCTCTCTCTCTCTTTCTCTTTCTTTCTCTCTCGCGATCATTTTGTCTCATCTCGTAGGTAACGCGACATCGCGGTACGTCGCGCTCGCGACGTCCTCGTTGAATGAATAAATTCACGACGGCCGCTTATATGCGCGGTGAGAGAGCCCTCTCCCTCCCCCCGTCTCTCCACCAGCTTCTCTATTATCGCTGTTTACGTACATTGTTTACCCACGGAGTGTGCAGCAGCGGCGAGTGATCGTGGGACCGTAAAAATGATTCCTTCCTGCTTCGCGTCGCGCATTAAACGCGCGGATACGGCATCGTAAAAAATGGCGAGTGTGGTGGACTTTGCGCGTAAACAGGTTTAGTGCCAGCCGGTATACTCTTGTTCTCTTTCTCTCTTTCCTTCTTTCTCTCTCCGAACGTAATGCCCAGTGCGACGCGACGTGGCCCCCGCAGGGGAGTGTTGCATAATAGCGCTCCGATCCGCCGCATTTTCTATTCTCATAGAAATTCTAGAGCCGCATTATTAGCCTTCGTAACCGAGGAGGCGCGTCGGCCAGCTGGATGGTCGCTTTTCGACAATTGTCTCAAACAGAAATAACAGTTCGCGGGCTTTATCGAGTCCGTGCGCGGGTAGGAATATCAGAGAATATGCAGCAGCCACAGACTTCTCTGTATATAACACGCAGGAGAAACATTTCAGTTCGCGTCCGTGCGTGTTTGAGCGATATTTTCACAGCACCGCGTGAAAACCCTACCGATCTCTCAATCACAGCATTTGGTCCGCGCATCGCACAAAGAGACGACAATATTTCTTCGTTGAAGCAACTCTGAGGACGAAGACGAGGACGTTACTGAGCATTACGTATCACTAGTACTATGAGTGGCTGTGACAACTATATAGATGAGCGTATGGCAACAGCAACTTTTCAAATCATATAAATCTTCTTTCTAACCACAGAATGCGTAGATCTAGCAACCGTGGCAGTTTTCTCCGTGCATTTAATTATATGTAAACAGAGCGTCTGTACAATGTCGATGAAATGCACTTTTACGACACGACACGAGATGGAAACCTAACTTAACCACTTTAGATACATGCAAACATGCGTCGTCGGAACGACACTCGCAGAAGAGATAACTTTACATACTCGTTTCGTGCATAAGAATCGAGCCGCCTTATATGTAAGGAGTTGGCAGTCTAGTAATACATAGAAGTCGATGGCAGCGGTGCCTGCGCGCTCAGGGTTTGCGCTGAATTATTTTCCCGCCGTCTTCTCATAGAAAATGATAGAATCATTGAAGTCCCGCAGTCAACTGGGCGCGCTTTCGCGGCAATCGTTTTACGCAGTAATAACAGACTACTTTGACTTGCTGCCGAATGTGTTCGCGTGGCGTGGGCGCGGGGAAAAAATCGAAGTCGGAATCCCGCACGACGACAGATTAAATATTTTGCGAGAAAATGTTGGCCCCGCCTTTGCGGCAGTCGGCGAAATTGTTTGAGGAAGCCACTCTCCGCCGATTTCGCGTCTCTTTTTTTCTTTCGCCTCCGCGAACCCACCGCCGGAGATTCATCGAGAATCTGCCACGCGACCGGAAGGGACTCGTAAATGTTCTCGCGAAAAAACAGTGTGTTACCTCGTCGTGGTCGCGCGAGCGAGTCCGGGACAGGATGGCTTCGCGACGTCGATCTGCACTTCGATATCGCGAGTATCGAAACATCAAGACGAGAAAGAAAGAGAGAGAGACAGAGAGAGAAGCTCACAAGCCACCACGCTCTCCCACGCGCTGCCCTTCATAGAAGCGCCGCGCGAGCTCCTTTTTCTCTTCTTTTTGCCCCGGTAAATGGCCGATCTATAAATGCGGCACATCAGAAAGCGCGCGATGCGCTCTCTCGGTCGCGTTTCGCCTACGATGTATTTTTAGTAACACGCACCGCGTCGTCGGTCGTGTGAAAAAAAGAGAGAGAGAGAGAGGGAGGGACGCCGTCCAAATTCTTTATTTTGCGCAAACACGTCAAGAAAGAGGCACGTTGAAAGTCATACAAATATAAACCATATATACGCGCGGTCTTAACGAAACTCTTTCGGCGAAAACGCCGACACGACACGACGCGACGCGGAGTTCGTTGTTCTTTCGTGCTGACGAACGACGCGACCGTTCTTTCTTTCATTCTTCTTTCCCTCGGGGAGGAAATCTTGCGCAATCGCGCGAGGTTTGTAAACCGCCAAGTTCACATGCTGTCAAGCAAAAACCGCCAAATTCCCGATATACAGGATGTGTGTTCAGGAGCCACGTGCGTGCGTGCGTGCGTGCGTGCGTGCGTGCGTGCGTGCGTGCGTGTTCTGCGCGAGTCTTTCTCTGTGACCTATTCAATCGCGCTATCGGCACGTTTCCTTCCACGCTCGTGATCATCGTTGATCTCTTACGTTTTTGGCAGAACCACAACTGCCGGCCGAGCGCTTCCACGCGCGTCACACTCACCTGACTAGAGATCCCCCCCGTTCTTCTTTTCTTTTTCTATTTTATTCCCAAGGTTGCCGCGGGTATATCGGCCGTTTCCGTGAAATAAATCATTTCTGCGAAACGAGCGAATTATTATTTTCGCGTCTCTCGGAAGTTCTCGATTCGTGCACTGCACCGATTCCCTCGCTCTAGCTTAAAAATAAAGTTCCCCGCAAAACAATGATATGATGAATCCAGTAGGAAATGTGAGCATAGCTGTATCATTCTAGTCATTGTGCAATGATAATGTGGATGGTTGATATTACTCTCAGTTATTCTGGAGAAAGAAATGCTTGAAAATTAATTTCTTTGTGAAAGAAAATTTATTTCGCAGAATGAATTCATTCCTGTGAATAAGCTTTATATTCTACGAATATAAATGCTCAAATATTTTCCTTTCAGTGTACATTAGCTACATCAATGTGGTTTGAGTGTGATGTGATTGTGACAACCAGAAATCGGTTGGGCTGACACATTTATCGCGGATAACAATACTCTGGTTGAGACAAGCAGATATCGTCGCTGTAAACGGAACAATTGCACCGCAGTTGCAACGGAGCAGTTGCAGTAATCACATAATTAGTCGTTCCACACTTTACTGTTGATCTGACTGGCGCAAGCAGATTTATGTGCGAGCCAGCCGTATTGCTTCCTCCCCGTGCACCTTTTAATTAAATTAGTGAAATCGGGGATTTTTCTCTCCTCTCGCGCTATCTCTCCCTCTTTCTCTCCCGCCGTTAATTCCAGCGAGCCAAATATCGTGAGTTTAATTCCAACGCCGAGAACGTGGGTCCGCGCATTGGAACAAAAGTACCGTAGCGAATCGGTGGTGAGAGAGAAATACCTATATCGCTGGAGTATCGACACTCTTTCCGCATATTGGCTTCCTAGAATCGAGCTGTTTATTGTGTCGGCAGGTATGAGCGCACCTTTGAGGATCGAAGCGGGACGCGATCAAGGAGAACGAAAAGAGACACCTAGG